ATTGTTCTTTTATCGAAAAATAATAATTGCCGATGAAAATCAATTAAAAAAGAACATATTGAAAAAATTTTCCTCGTTTTACTACCGTCTTACTATCCTCGAGAAAGTGCAACAATAGTCGATAAACGCGTAGATACATAAGAAGTTGAATAAAAATATTCGTCACGCTGATACGAAAAGGGCCGATTGTCGATTTCGAATCGAATCTAATGTCGCGCGTGGTTTCTGAACGGACACAACGTATACGCGAAATGCAAACTGCTTTATCGCAGTGTAAACACCTGGTGTGGCCTCGTAAATGTTGTTGGAAAGAATTACAGCTCGCTTATAACGAGTTAACACGCACGACGTAATTTAATGTGCTTTAACACCTCCACGGATTTATGCTACCCATTGCATGCAAGGTACGAATGCATACGCGCGTGTGTATTTTTGTAAAAAGTACCGGCGGAAACCGCGACGCGTGTGCGTACCACGTACGTGCACGGATGTCGAGCATACGGGTCATTGTGGCACCCGACGTTTATTTCAAGTCACCATCGCGACGCTATAAATTTCACTGTTACATTTTTGGTCGTGTGATGAACGGCTGTTCCATAAACTCTGTCGTTAATGAATGGTGAGGGTGTGAGACCGAGGATGCAATTTGCGATAAAGGAAGTTTAACCTTATATACCATTCTTTTCTCAAAACTAATCTTTAATCTATTGGATACGTTAATTATATCGTGAGGATGGAAAGGAAGGAATGAACAGAATCACGACTTGTGAACCGTAATTTTTCGAAATTTGCATAGAAATAAAATACGCGTGAGAAAATAATTTTCATCTCGGTGAGAAGTTAGTTCAAATCAGAGCACTCTCTGTCAAAAGAATATATTCGATACACCATCGAGTCTTTCGGAAGTGAATTATTACCGTCACCGTCTACGTAATTAAGGGATTCCATAAATTTCTTCGCGATCATAATCCCACGGATTCGATCGTAATAAATCAAGACCTTCGTCATAAATACAAATCCTAGATAACAATCGAAGCGAGATAACATTAACGTCCGATTATTCGGAGATGGCGGCTCGATATATCGTTGATATCGAGGAGGAGAGGAAACCTGCTTCACGTGGTTTGACATTATCGAACTGTAATCGAGACCCCGTTCTCGCGGCTCGTATTGTTCCCTTATACAGGGCCGATTTATAAATTCGCTCATGCGATATTCATACAATTAATATTGGCCACGGTACGCCGTATAAAAGGCAGAGTAACTTGACATTCATCCCCGGTTAATCCAATCAAAAAGCCGAGGAGTGTCAGTTTGGGCGCGGCTTTATATGCGCGTTACTGATTAGCTTTTTTACCGAAAAAAAGAAATGTTCAGCTCTGGCGGATATCAAGGACATCAGACTGTTGGACATCGTTGGAAAATTAATCGGAAAGTTAATTGAGCGATCGATTAAGAACGAACGAGAAAAAAAAAATGTTTAATTTAACGAACAATAATGGATAATAAAGATCGATGATGAAAATGTACATCGAATTCGTAAAATTCTCTTAACGCCTCTTCTACGAGCGATCGAGTAACATTCTTGACGCATTAGCCGAGCCGAACGCATTTCCAAATTGCCAAACTGCGTACCGAAATAGAAACGAATTTTCAAGAAAGCTATCACGGCACTATTAATCGTCCAATCAAACGGTAGTAATAGATACGAATAGTTCCAGATCCGACCTGAATCACTATCGAAGCACTTGCTCCTCGTACGTGGCCATGTGGTCTTCTCTGTAATTTATACTCGTCTTTCGCGTCCCATATACCGATTCTACGCCCATGTAACACTAACCCACGTACGGATACTGTATAAGCAATTTAACATACAATCCCTTATCATCTTAATCTTCTTCAGCTTCATCAACCGCGAGAATAGGATATACGTCGGGCTCTATACACCATCACAATACACTTCGAATTTCCTTTCGCAACGTATATTTTCAACTTATCAATTTCCAGCCTACTGACTAATAGGAATTATTATTATATACATGTCTTTGTTGTTGTATATACAAGATATACGCAACGTGTACATAAGTAGAGAGATTATTTCCGAGAAATCGTCGCGATTTTTCTTAACCATAGTTGATCAAAGTTGCGAATAACAGTTTACAAGACACGAATATTAATCGTATCCGTCACGCTGCAACTCGTGTTATAAATCTTTAAACAATTCTTCTTCCATGGATTTTTTCCAATTTTCTTTGATAGAAATAATTAATCGCCGATGTTGGAAAATATTTATCTTGATTTATACCCTTTGTGCCACCACGTTGACCACGTTAACGTTTGTTCCTGACAAATGATAAATTTCTCATAAATTTGTAATAATAATAATGAAACGAATAATTGCGAGGATATTAAACGAATATTGAACTTGTTAATTAGATTGATGGATAGGAAAATTTGATTAAATATAGATAATTTGTGATCTATATTCCAATCGACATCGTACGCGTGTATATACATAAATATATATTAACATGTTAAATTACAATAATTGTAATTCGTTATTATTTATTCTATACAAAACAATCTCTATTACGACTTTATTAATATACTCTATATTAAACAATATTTTCCTAGTCAAGAAATAACATCCAATTACCATATCTTTTCGAATATTCATAATTCAATTGATAATAAAATTAAATTTTTTACTAATAAAATTGAAAATTTAAAGAAAAAATATTGAATTTTTAAGTTTTAAAGTGTCAATATAAAGTTTAATAGAAGTATTTTTTGAAATAACCCAAAGAAGATTCTAATAATCAAAAGCTTCTCTAGATTTGAGAATCTTTTATATATGTTAACATGATTTTAAATTTTATCTTAAGAAAAAGAGTATATAGGTAGTTGGATGTTGACATAATGATTAATGGAAGTAACATAACATAACTTAAATAAGCTTTCAATGACCGTTAGGTGGTTCTTTGATTGTCTGGATCACCCATGAAGAGATCCATGATTCCGGTGCACTCGACTTGTCGCGATTCACAGAACGACAAAGTGCAGCTGGCTTTTGGACACTCACGAAGGAACGCGACGTGGCTAAATTTATTTCTTGACAGCCATAATTTCACCACGGCTCTACACACAACCATATGCCTCGACGTGTTATGACTTACTAATTCGCGTCGCAGATTCGAAATTTACTTCGATCCGATAACGACCTCTGTTTACACAAATTTCATGCTAAGTAACCACGTGTGTAAATATTGTTTCTGTTTCTTAGAATTCTTTGAGTGATTGGGTTCAACGAATTTGTGGTATAAGAACGTATCCACTTCCACGAGTAAATAAATACACGAATGGAAATATTTTGATAGATTTCCTTTCGTTTATATTAGAATCTCGAAATTTTATTTGAAATTGTATTACGTATTATATTATAATTTTGATGCCGTGATTAATCGTAACGAGTATCAAATTAGTTAAAAAATAAAAGGCAAAAATCAAAATGTTTGTTTAATTTTTTTAAAATAGTTGAATATAATAAAGTTTTTAATAACATTTTATTATTAGATTTATGTATTTAAAATATATTCAAATATTTGATTGATATAAAAAAATATCTCACGACATATTTTAAATGTCCCTATATGCTCTATATTACAAGACTATTATATCGATACAAATATTACGAAACGAAATTTCGACTTTTCGTATAACGTAAAAGAACGTGAAAAGAAATTAAAAATTTTGTCATCAAAACCCAATCAGGTTATAGAGGAAACCATGCCGTTAAAATTATTTTTTCATTCATCTCGATATCTCAATCGGTTCCCGAGATATAACGATTCAAAGTTTCACTAGCGTAGAAATTATGAATGGACCGCGATCCACTGACCTATATTTTTTCCTGGAAATGCATGCTATGTTCTTCCAAGAATTGCATACAACGTTTTTCCAAGAATCGCGTCTGTCGCTTGTCTGCAGTTTAGGATAGGTCAGTGAGACGAGGTGCGAGCAAAAGATCCGAATAAAAAACAAGGATAGTAATGGTAAATGATTAAAAATTACAGTTTTTTTTACATGACGATATCTTGGGAACCGGAAGTCGTATCAAGATAAATCAAAAAGCGTTTTAAAGAATAAGATTCTATCTTCTAATAATCGTTCATTCGTTGACCGAAAATTACTATCTTCGGAATTACAGCAGTTCAAAGTTTTTCTAATTTTAATACGTTTAACAGGATATAAAGGAAATGATTAAAAATTACTTTTTTTTTTATTTGATATTTCGGGAACCAAAAGTTGTATTGCGATAAACGAAAGAGTGTTTTAAAGAGCAGATTTCATGTTTCCAATAATCTTTTACCCGTTGATTAAGGATTATTATCTTCAAAATTATATCGGTTTAAATTTTTCCTAATTTTAATAAGATTTAATCGAGTTTTGAAATAATTACGTGATAATTATGTTTGTTTTTGAAAGAATATTATTTATCTTATTAATGATATATTAATATATTGATTTGTTGTTATTTTCTTGTTAATTTTTTATCGTTATGTTGAACATTTATTCATTGGATGCATCAAAGTATATTTCAGCGTAAAGAATAGGGTTTGTGGAATTTAAAAAAAGGTATTGCGTCAACAATCGACCCAACCCGATAACAAAAATCAAAGATATTGATCACGTGTACCAATGTGCTGCAGTACAAGCAATGTGCTTGACAAAACGAGCGTAACGCTTTCCATTATTTTTGTCAGTGGATTTTGATTGCTTCCTCGTCGAGAGTGTGCAAATGTGTTATTACTTCCGTGTGTCATTTCTATTTTCTTTAACAATGCGTTTTGTCATCTTTCGATCATCCTTTTTTACTTTTATTCTATTATCTCAATTGTTGCACTAGCTAAATTGAAAATAATATAAAATAAAATAATACAACACTCTTAATGTTTTCAATTTCGAAATAATAATTAATTTCAAACTTAATATGTTCTCAGTGTTTTCTAAATTCCTGCGATGGACATTTAATCGATGGGATTTTCACGGAGCCGACCTTGGAACGGGGTTACAATTTGGTTGCCACGGTTCCTCGTGGTGCTGTGGTTTTGAACGTGACACAATTACGTCACACGGAGAATTATTTGGGTAAGAAGGCATATATTTATCGTACTGCATCATCAGACAAAAATACTCGTACACAAGAGAAAATCTTCTCAACTTAAATGAACAATGAGATAAATCTTGATTTATAAAATGTATTGTATAGTATGCAAATTCGAAAATGGTTCCACAAATTTCTTTTATCTTTTTTTTTTTTTTTTTTTTTTTATAAGATTCTTGCAAAATAATGAATCCGACTTTCCTTCATTTCTTGCTGACATAACAAAATAATAATAATAATAATAAAATAAAATAATTAATTTTAGTAAAAATATGAAGATAAAAGGAAATAAGGAAATAGTAAAAAACGAATGAAAGAAAGTTACAAGTAACTTTCTTGGATCAAGCTTATACATAGAATTTCGTTCGAGTATAACAAAATGATTCTAATGTATTAGTAAGCAAATTATTGTCGCGAGGATATTATTCACGATCACAAACAATCAGTTGTATTTGTTCATAATGCTTCTTTATTATCAATGCGAAGAATTCATCCTATTCGAGGCGTATTCTTGGCATCAACCCTTGCATAATCTCTAATGTCTGTACACGCATTAACTGAACATAAATTAAATGCAGTAGCCATTCACGTGACACACAATACGTGATCACAACTTCGTCCTTTGATTCGTTCTGACTCTGTGATGGTATTAAAATATATTTAACGATATAACCTGTTCGATATTATATAGATTTTATTGAAATTTCTTTTATAATATTTCTCATTTATTCTGAGATTGTTGAATACAATTTTATTGTAATCATAAAGGATTGTTTAACGATATACACGTATCGTCATAATGAGTAATCAATTGCTTTTATAGTTTTATGTAATAGTCATTAAAATATCTTGTTTTTTTATTTATAATTCAGGAGAATTATATAAATCCATATATATTTTTGTATAATTTTATTTTAAGATACATTGAGCAATATACTTGATTTCAAATTATATATTTGTTAATAGAATTGAACTGAAAATGAATTTTTTAATTAGTTTTCTCTCTTTGTCATGTCATCTCATTATTTTATTTAGAAACGAGAATATTTATTTTCCAAAATTAATGAAACTTTTTATTCTTCATTTTGAAAATTCTCACTCTCTATTCTTAGTTTTTACACGTTCACTTTTCTTGAACCACATCCAACGTGAATAATATAAATCGATACGGTCGTAAAAGCGATCATATGAACCTTTGCGAACTGTAATTCTTGCCTAAACGATCGCAGCCAAGATTTTCACAATGGATCGAATGGGTCGATGTGTCATAGATCTTTAAAGAAGATTACATAGCGGATATTATTTTTATTCGATTACCCATTCTTTAGCGCTTGGTGAAACAACCAGGTAGGTGTGAAGTAATGCGAAACGAATCGAAGGTATTCATAACGATGTGATTAATTATATGTATGTAACATGAATCCTCGAAGTTGATTTCGCAATTGTGTACATGCAATTTACGACAATTTTTCGAAAATTTTATTAGTCGTAAAAGTCGTTACATGGCTGTTCATTTCGTGGTAAATTTTTAAATAATTTCCATTTTGCGAACTATTTGTGGAGAGCTTAAACGTGCGAAAAATATTTAGAATGCATTTAAAAATACATAAAATAGAAATATAGTAAAGTATTTGAATAATTTCTAGATTGGAAAAATGTAAAAGTGTAAAAAATTTAAATTAGAATAAATTTAAATTAGAATAAAATTCATGATTAAATTTCGTAAAAATAATCTATCTTTTATACTTAGAAATTTAAATTGCCTTGATGAAAAAGATCATTGATACAAGTTTTAAATTTACATAATCAATTACAGACAAAAAAAGAAAAATTATATCAATAAAACAAGCTATCATTATTAACTTATTAAAATGGGAATAACTTTTACATAGAAAAGCAATCTAATAAATTATTCCACGTATTTCTATTTTTTTTTAAATAAATTTTTATTTAATTGTATGATAATTAAACAAAGTTGATAGATTGTATCACTCTCCGTTTGTAAAATGAAACAATTTGCATTCACGGCTAATATCAAGATAGTATTTCGTTTAACTAGGCTCGAAGGGAGTTGAAAGACACATAGCGGCTATCCAATGTGCACGTCATCCGCTAAATGACTCGTCTATGCCTTCAATGTATCGTATCGCGCAATTGCGCCCGACATTTCTCGCATGCAAACCCGTGAATGACTCTCCGTTTCCGTTTCATTATCCGAATCATTATCCAAGCTAACTTTGAACGCGCGACAATTACGCGAAATCATTATCGACGGAATGATCTGAATCTTAATGTAACACCACGTATCAATGTTTTTACATTTTATTTATGCATTTCGATTGTTGTGGAAAGAAAAAATACATTGGACAATACATTGATAACGAGATATCTAATTTTCTTTATTGAAAATTATACGTAGGATGGAATGAAATTTTGATAAATTGATAAATTCTACTAAGGATTGATTTCTAATAATCCTGCTTTTGATTTTAATATTATTTCTAGCGGTCAAGTTGCAAGATGGTACCTACGTGTTCAATGGGAATTACAGCATAAGTCTGCCTGGTAAGTATCAAGCAGCAGGGACTAGTTTCGTCTACGTTCGTCAAAGTCCTCAGAATTTGGAAAGTTTCTCTGCCATTGGCCCGTTGGAAGAGCCCATTGATGTTATGGTAAATAAATTATAGCAAATGGAAATAAATAAAACAACAAGAAGATATATTCAAATATATTTTCGATTCAGGTTTTATATCAAGAACCGAATCCCGGGATTGTATATCGATACGTCATCCCCGGAAGTGGAGTATCTCCGAGTTCTCATCTTGGACATAAGACGGGTATACAATTATTCCTTTAAATAGACGAGAATAAAATAACAATAATAATTAATGTACAGAGAGTTCTATTTCAGTTTCTAGCAAGGCTGGTGAAGCTATTCCTCACAAGAAGTAAGAATTCTTCAACATTCGAACATTTTTTTGTCTTCGTGCCTCGTTATCTATTAACAAATATTCATTATTCTATAGAATAGAAGCCGGTTCTAATATCAATGATGGAACGCAAACATATCTTCCAAGACGGTACAAGAAAAGAAAATTCTTTTGGAAACCAAGCGGTTATACCGAGTGTAGTAAAACTTGTGGTGGAGGTAAAGAGATATTTTTAGAAATTATATTTTCAAGTTAAATATATGAAACAAACATCTTTCTTTTTTATCTGTTGCAAAAAAAAAAAAAAGGTACTCAGATATTGAAGTACGTATGCACGAGGGAACACACACAGACACCTGTGCCTGAAAAGAGATGCCACGCGTTAGAAAAACCGCGAGAAACTCAAGTACGATGCAATACTACACCTTGCCTACCCAGGTGAATAGAATTCCACGCGTTCAATTGAAAAAAATATATTCTTCCATATATATCGTGCACTCTTCTATTCCTTAATTTAATAATTTTACGCCTTTATTGTTTCAATATTTTAATACACATTTAATGTGTATATTCTATTTAATTTTAGAGATAATTTTATTTGACATACAAATTTTAATCGTGAATTATTTGAATAAATTTGATAAAGATGGAGAGCAGGCCCGTGGAGCCTTTGTTCGGTTACCTGTGGTAGCGGTACGCGTTCCAGGAGCATAGAATGCGTACAAGAAATAACAGCATCATTGATAATGAGAATAGCCGATGGCGCCTGCGTGGAGCCTAATATCCTTCCTACTTCCGAGGTTTGCGAAATGCCACGCTGTGAACTCGAATCGAAGGTAGCACCAACAACATTACCGCCTCCGCAATGGAGCGTGGGCATATGGTCCACGGTATGTTTCTCCTTTATCCAATAAAATTCAAAACGAAACCTACACATATATATATATATATATAAATCTATATACATATATATAATAAACAATCGAGTAAAGAAAGAAAAGATAAAAATCATAAATAATACACGTTTATTAAGATATATTGTGCGTAATTATTTCGTTTTTTTTTCTTTTTTTTTTTCTTTTAAGTGTTCCACAACTTGCGGTCCAGGTACAAGAACAAGGAGTGCAACGTGCGTGACACAAGGCCCTACGTGTAATCTTGCAGAAAAGCCTATTACTCAAGATGCTTGTGATTTAGGATCGTGTACCACTAAATCGCCACAAACGAATGCTATTTTCACGAGAATCGAAAGTTCACAGTGGTTGTACACTGAATGGTCCGAAGAGGTAAGAAATATTATAATTTTATGATTATTTTATGGAACTTTCTTAACATTTTCTAAATTTGTAAATCGGAAATTTAAAAGCCTTATGAAGAAATAAAAAATATTTAATAATCGACTTAACACTTAAAATTAATTATTTTCTTTTTCTTCGTCGTTCTATACAGAACGTGTTTTAAGGAAAATATAGTATTTTTTATTAATTTCTATAGTGTTCCGCCGAATGTGGAGTCGGTATGCAAACGAGAAAGGTGTTCTGCGAAAAAGATCCGGAGGGAGAATTTTGCGACCAATCGACAAGACCTGAAACTTCAAGAACCTGTTCCAGCAACAGAACCTGTAGTGGACAATGGTTTACGGGACCATGGACCGCGGTAGGTTCAAATAACATAAATAAGAAAAATAATAAAGTTAATAGCGAATTAGATATGTTTATAGTTTAACTAGTTTTACTTACGTGAAAATCTTAAAAATTATACACCATTTTTACCATCTCTAAAAAGAAAAGATCAGTTCAAACTTTAAAATTTAATGTTTTAAATTTTAAATTTCAAATAAATAATACCTTTTCCTCTAGTGTTCCACGGAATGTGACCAAGGAGAACAAGTCAGAGAAGTAGCCTGCATAACTACGCTTCGTGGATCTCTTCGTGTTGTTCTCGATATGAATTGCCCTGCGAACAAACCGGAAAGTCGAAGATCATGCACCGCTCCACCATGCACATCCTCGTGGTTTATATCGGACTGGACAGAAGTAATTTAAATTCTTCGCTTGCGCATTTTAAGATTAAATTAATCTTCTGTACAGTTGACAACTTTGAAAAACGTGTAACCACGAAGAAAAAAATTCATAATTGTTATTGTAAATTATTTCTCACGCTATTTTTTAGTGTTCCCGATCGTGCGGAAAAGGCGTTCAAAAGAGAGAAGTAAAATGTTTGAACAGAGAGGGCCAGATACCGGAACACCACGAGCTCCATTGCAAAGAAAAGGATCGACCTATATCTCGACGAACTTGCAATGACTATCCTTGCAAGGAGGACATGCACAGATCTGAGAATCATCACACTGTCCTGCAAGTTCAAGACGATCCGGAAATCTCAAATGGTATTTCACATGGCATTTCCTCACAGAAAGTATCTTTTTAATCAAAAAAATTTTAATTTTCTTTAACGAGACATTCGTTATATTGCATTGCAAGAAAACTACCTTATCTATTTAATAGATTTTTAAATTAAAGTGATCAATTAGTGGATTCAATTGGACAAGATTTATTTTCTTTTTTGTTACGAATTCTTTAATCTTTGTAAATTATATTAAAGACTTTTGATAATTTTTTACTTTCAGTTCTCGAAGAAAATCCACTTTGCAAGGACAGTACATCTAACTGCAATTTAGTGGCACAAGCTCGGCTCTGCAGTTACCAGTTTTACCATCAGCTGTGCTGTCAATCGTGTTCCAGAGCTAAGCAAGATCTCGAATGATGATCTGAAATTCTGTCGATCAACCAAATGTATCGTAAATGGAAATTTAAAGCATCGATGATTAATCGAATCATTGAACGTAACCTTATGATATTATACGTGTCGTAGAATTACTTACCCTTGCACTGCCTGATGAAACATTTTTAACGCCAAGTTTTATGTATAGAAATGATATTAGATATTAGATCTCTAAAAGAAAGTAATAATGAAATATAATTGTTATTATAGATAATCCATAGGTTTATGAATAAGCTTGAATAAACTTTTATAAAGATTAATAAATTATAACAATTGTCAACGTTTTATAATGTTTTGAAAAGTAGGTTATTTATCGAATTATATACGTAGCTTTAATTGTAATTTTATAGAAATGATGGTATTAATGAATGTATAATTATTTATGATTGATCTATCTGTGAAAATCGTTCGAGCTTTTTATTTAATATTACGGAGAAAGTAAGTATTAGGTTAAATTAAAATGAAAGGAAAATGTAAATTTTAATACTCAAAAGAAAATTTACGAGATCGTCGACGAGAAATTATAGACTGATCGCATAATTAACATAACATTGGCATTTAATTTGTATTATTTTCCATAGTTATTATTCGCTATAATAAAGTTTATGCTTTCTATGTTCTTTCTTTCTTTCTTTCTTTTTTTTTTTTTTTTATTTCAACTATATAGAAAAACAGCCATGTCAACAAAACGGAATCATCATTAAACAAGCCACATCAACGAAAGTATCAACACGATACTATTTACAATAATAACACTATTAATTAAAAATTATTCACTACACCTATCACATATTATAATGTAATAAATTATATGTACACATTTATCGTTTTGAATTATGACGGCAGTGATCGTAGAAAAGAATTGTCATATCACAAAACGAATAACTTTTAAAATACAGAAATGCCTTGCTCAGTGGCAGCTAAGTGACAAATGATTAGGATATCATTTGAATAATATATAGGAAATGGTTTATTTTGCTTTTTCTGTGTGAACAAATGAATATAATAATGTTGATTATTAATTGTTCAATTTCTCAGCAAAGCAAAATTCTAGTTAATTAGCAAGGCAATACTGTACATCCTTTATTTTACGCATCAAGAAAAGTTCCTTTTAATCCATTAAGATAAACCAGATCCATCGAGATAAACTAAACATCTAAAAATTATTTACTAATTTAAAATTTTTATAATAATGACAGAAATTGAGCAAAAAAACTTACCTCCATATTAAAATAAATAAAGAAACTGATTTTAACAAATTCCAAAGCTTAATGGATCAAAAGAAAATGAATTGGCAATCGTAGAACCGATTAAAAAATTATACGAGAACTACAATAATAAACTAGATACGAGGATTTAGTTCCTTTAGCAAGTTCAGGAACTATTCTGAGTTTTCTAAATTTTCTTGAGCAGAAATTGTACTATTATCGTGGTTTTTGTACGCTGAAAAGAATGCTAAGGCTTTCATAAGTTGATAACTTTTGCTAATTGGGATATTACTGTCGTACAAACTTCTCGAGGCTTTGCAATCTACGTAGAACCACCAGTTGCACTTTAGAATCGTTTGATCGAACAGGGTAGATTCAGGACAGAGGAAGCTCTTCATAATCAGCCCATCGTCTGTCAATGCACAAACATGAAACACCTACGAAGAATAAAACAATTAGAATAAAAAATAAATAAATCTTCGTTTACATTATTTAATTTTATAAGAATAAATTTACCATGCATCCAAGATCTTCGTCTGCATAAAGTCCTGGAAAATGCTTTTGATCACCGCAATAAAAGCTCGTGTCTGGAAGATCCACTCGACTTGCGAAATTGTCATCAAAGTTCTTATCGTATCCCATTGGATAATACTCACGTGGTGCATTCATTACTTTAGTGGCTCCAGAATTATATTTGCTAAAAATATTAATAAAGACAACGATAACAATTTATTGGAAAAAGAAAAAGAAGTATTGCAGAAAGTTGAACGAAATATATATATATATATATATTTCACTTTTTGTGTGGAGACATGGTTGTAGTCGTAGTGCTAGTGCTGGTCGGTCCTTGATGTTTTCGCATAAGCTGTTGCTGTCTGAGAAGAATAGCCGCTTCCAGAGCTTCCAAGGTGATGTTACTAGCTTCCGCGAGAGCTTTCAACGACGTCTCCATTCCCTGAATGGGCGCTAAAGACGGAAGTGACAATGGCAACGATGATGAGGATGGCATCGATTGTCGTTTGTCGGTTTGCTGTTGCGATTTATTGAATTCAGCTGATTGGAGCGGCATTGGGTGAAGAGAAAGTAAAGTCATCTCGTTGACCGAGGAGGCGACTTCATCCCCGGGCAGAGGAAGCTAATGTATCGAAGAAATATAATAGATATAATAGAGAAATATATAAGAATTAATTAAAAACTATATCAATACTATAAAACAAAATTTAGAAAGAAATTGGCATTATAGCAAAAATTTTTGAATATTATAAGAAAATAACTACCTGACTGAAATCGTCTTTCGACACTTCGTTATCAGAATCCTCTAAAATAGCTGGATTGTTGCTGATTCGATCAGTCAATTGAGCAGACGATTGTGGCATCGAGATAAAGGGTGGTAAGCCATCATTCGTTGATTTAGAACTATCTGGTTCTACGATGCTACCAGCTGGTGGTATGGCAGCAACGATGTTTGGCAATTTTCCTGGCACTGCAGCTGCAACCGCGAGCATCTGTGGTGATGTCTATGGAATAGACATCAATTTTCGTCAAAGGATTGTTTTAACAATTTTAAGAATAAAAAATCAATGTGAATCCGAATTGAATGAAAATTACCTGATCCCTTATCACTTGCATTGGAACGACCTGTTGATGCCTTTTCTGTTGTTGAGCCACCATTTGTTTTTGTTGTTGAAGTTTCTGCAGTTGCTGCTGTCTCATGGCTTCCTGTTGTTGTAGCCTCTGTTGCTTCAATACTTGTAACGCGAAAGCTTCTTGTTGTAGTTTCAATTGCTGTTTCTGTTTGGCTTCTTGCATCAGTTGCTGTTGCCTCAACAAATCTTGCTGCGTTGCTGATAAAGAAGGTGCTGGTATGGTTCTAAGGACCGTGGAATTTTGTTGTACTACCAACTTTTGTCGTTCTGGTTGCTGAGCTATCGGCCTTGCTGCTCCAGGTGGCAAAGGTTTGAAAGGAGGCACCACTTGTCGAGTGTTTTGAGTGTGCTGTCTCTGATCATCTCGATTGGTCGCCTTAAACGAATCATTATCAATGTGTTAGAATTATATTATATTTTCTTAAAAAAAATTTGATTAAAAACACGTGAATAATTTTTGATAAAATTAATATTGACTTTTAATTGAATTAATTTAGAAATTTCATAGCACTACTTCAATTCCATTATTTATATATACGTAATATTTAAATACATTATGGATGGTAGTTCAAATGTGAATATACGGATGATTATGCATTTCAAAATTCTCTTGTCTAATATAATTTTTTATTTGCATGTATTCAAATAATTATGCATTAAAAATCCATGAAAATTGAATTGTAAATACACCATCGCGCTTAATATATTTAAATAAAGACATAAAAAGTTAGTGCATTAATATTTATCATTGAAAATTTTTTTTAAATGTTCTTTTTTTAGGATTGAAGAATAAATATCAAATAGAATAATATAATTTACATAAAATTTATAAAATGAAACTTTTTAACATTTTTATTATCTTTTTTTAAACTTTTAAGAACTAAGGAAAATATAATATATTTATTTTAGAATAACGAAGAAAATTGAAACATGTTTAAAAATTAATTGAAATACATATCTAATTAATTTTATGTAAATTACTAGGAATGTTGATGATTTATAAGTTTTAATTTTAATGATCTTGTCCTATTTCATTCATCTTTTTTTTTCGTATATCTATAATAATTAAATGTACATGCATTAGTATGAGAATGAGAATTTAACTAGGCCTAACGTGTATTGTGGAAAGTTTTATGCGAAGAGTTCACGCACTAATTACGATAAGCTTGGTCGCATACTTTAATCGATATTTTAATGAAAATAAACGTATCTAAAATTTGAAGATGTGACTAAAATTTTTATCCAGTGAATTGTTAATGTAATTTTAATATCAATCGATTAAGATAGATTCGAAAAGTGATTACAAGATTTAAAAAAAGTTTTCAAAAAAAAAGTAATCTTTAGATTAGTTTTCTTTTACAAAGATTAGAAATATTGTTTAAAGATTATCGTTGGAGATATTGACATTTTGTTATCTCATTTAACATTTTTTATCTTATTTAAAAAGGTACTATTAAGTATCAAAGAAACTATTTGTTTCCTCTTTTCTCATTATAATAAATTTAATGAGAAAGCAAACTTGGATCACGATTGCACAAAGAAAACAATGTTGAGCATTATATTATATGTGGATTCAATCGGAATCAGTGAAAAAAAGAAGAAAAAAAAAATGTTGCCATTATAGAAATCATGATGGAATTGCTTTTTACATTCTTATTCATCTTAGATTTTCCTTGAACTACTTAACAAGAAGGCACATATCTGTGTAACATATATAGAAAGTGATATAATGATAAGATTGTGTAATAGAATAAAAATTGTCAATACTATTCGTATCAAATTTACAAAATTTAATAATTAAAAACACGTTTCTACGTTTTTAATAGGCTTACCAAATTAGTATAGGACGATGATCCAATTCTACTTGTCTGTACACTTCTTCTTTTCAAAGCCTCTACATTGGACAGGGACTGACCAAAGCCCAGCTCGTCGCCCACCGAAAATCCTAAAGTTAATAGTGGTATTAATTGTTATAAAGTTATATATCATAAAATTTTTAAATCTAAATTTAAATAAACCTAAACATTTCAAAACATTTCATTTTATTCCGAGGTAAAAACTTATATAATGAAATAAATTCTATATATTTGGATGCTCTGATGATATTTTGATTAAAATATATATCAATTTAATATTTATTTTAATATTTATCTAGCTGGAAAGCATAGTATAGAATATCATTTTAAATAAACCTTCCAGACATGCATTCGTTTTTTATATTAATTTTTATTAAATTATGCACATTATGTAAGTGATAAATACCATTACTCCAAAAGAATGCGAGAAACCAGATCTTTTAGAAGAGAGAATTAAAAAGAGTTAAGCAATCACATATTACGCAAGAATCCATATTGCTTTTCTTAATGTTCTATAAATTTGCAAACTTTTTAAGACGATCCTTTTGATCTTTGATCAATTTTAATGTAAATTAAGTTTTTATTACACGTGCCATCTTCCTGGCTTAAATGAATAATGTAATGTGTATAATATTCTTTTTTTTTTTTCTTATTTATCCTATTCATACTTGTCAAAGTAACAGCGAAAAGAGAGATTTTTTTTTTTTAAAGTGAAAAAGATAATGTTTCATTTCACGCATGCTTTACACCATTGATTAGGATCTTATGGTAATTCACTTTTTGTGCTTCGTTTCATAACATAAATTTCTTTTAATAAGACAATGTACATAATTATCGATTTAACGTTATGAATAAATGAATATTATTCGATTCTATTTTTCATTTTTATTTTTGTGG